TCCTTGCTAGATCCAAGTGTATTTTCCATGTGAGAGGTGCTTCATAGTGGATTCCCAGATATTTGACCTGTTCATAGGTTGGCCTGCTAACGTCCCATTTGAAGACTTTTCCCTTTTTCCTTTTGGTGAATACTATGACCTTGAATTTCACCACACTGGTGGACAAGCCCTCATGATGATGTAAAGCTCGACATTTTTTATCAGCTTGTAGAGGCCCACTGTTGATCTAGACATTTTCACTGCATCATCAGCATATAGAAGGATTGGAACTTTGTGCTTAGATAAATGTGGAACATGCCATGGTTCCTTCAGGAGGCAGGGTCTGAGGTCATTTATATATAAATTGAACAACAGGGTCTTCCTAATCTAGGGATGATCAATTTCTGTCTTCTTACAGGCCACTGCATTTTCTCCAGTGGTCCAGGGTTCAAAACTGCACAAGCTGATTTGCTTTGAGATCTACAGTACATTCCTAAGTAGAGTTGCAGCTTTCTAAACCCGCTGACTTCTATGTATTGGGATATTTGGTTAACATAGAAGAGTTTTGCCCGGTCATAGAAGCATGATACTGAGTGCGGTAAATAAATCTCCCAAGAAGTATATTGCAAAAAATGGGTAAGCATACATTTATTCAAGTAGATCCAGTTCACATTCAGGTTGCAGTCAAAAAGAGAGAAATAAGCCTGATCTAAAGACTACTTTCCCTGTTACAAATGGCCAGTTTGGCCAGCATCATGTATGTGTGGGAGTACGAGGGCATTGTATTTACAGGTACAGAGACAGAGGTACAGGTACAGAGTCTCCATGGACAGCCAAGTGAGAGAAGTGAGAGGTCAGAGGGGAGCTCCCAGGTTAAGCAAAGGGAGGAGATAACACCTATACACACTTAGAGTGATGTACTGCTCCCCAATGTCCAGGTATGCTGAGTCACTGACTCCAATGCTATGGATGTAGAAGGGTATAACTCTGTTTAGGATTGCACTGTAAGCTTCTGAAACGTAGCCTCATCTAGCAGTGTGGTTACAGAGTAAGTATGCTCAGCCATTAACACACATGCAAATATTTGCACTTATATATTGCACGTTCAGTACAAAATCCAGGAATCATATTGAAATGCAGAATATTTCTTACAACTGGAAAATATCACTCTGAAACTGTGGACAAGCCTGTAACCATAACTTGATCACAGTGAGAGTTAGCAGAATGGCTTTGGTGTCCAGATTGGGTAGTTTGGTGACGGTTCTGCACTAACTTTAACACACCCCTCCCCTCCCTAATATTGCTGATTTGTGACCCAGCTGCGATGGATTTATATTTCCAAGAAATGAAGCTGATGCCACTCAGTGGGTAAAACACAGTACTACAAAAGAACGGAGCCATTGCCTGCTTGCTTCCACAGTCAGTGCCTGAAATCAAAATATTCCACATCCCATCAAACAATGCTTTCTTTTGATAATTGCAGGACACATCAGAATTTATATAATGGGGAAAGAAAAAAGTCTCTTTGTCATAAATGCTTCATGCATCAGAATTTATATAATGGAAGGGGGAAAGAAAAAAAGTCTCTTTGTCATAAATGCTTCATAAAGGGGAAAAAACCTATTTTTTTTCACTAATAATCTGATCCTCAAAACTTTACCAGTGCACAGACCATATTAAAAACCTTTCTTTGACCAATGACATTTTATTTCGATAATTTAAGAAGTATTTTTATTTAGTAGTTAAATACTATCAACACTCTCAGATATGATTTATGTACATTTTTTGCTGATATTACAAATTTGTATTCTATCTATTTGTGTCAATATCTATGCTACCCTTTGTCTCCTCAGTGGGTACCCAGTGGATCACAAAATCACTCTCCATTCCTTCTGCTGTAATTCAACCATGCAATTTCCCCAGAAATGGCTGAGACACAGTAGTAGGAAAGTGCTTGCAAGACTATCATCTGTTGTCTATGACCTTTTGCTGAACAGATTTCTGAAAGAGAAAATTAAATAAAACCTGCAATTTGTAGGGAAAAGGCAAAATCCGCCAAGATTCCAGGTATCAACTGTTCATTTCCATGATGCATTTTGCTTTAATGACAGCTGTATATAAAAGACAGTCATACAAGAGTGAGCAATTCAAAGACTCATGGGAGTGACTCACAGCCCTGTCCATGGTTTTATAATGTCGTATCAGTGAAGTGATAAAAATAGGGTTGCCATCCCATTCATACCTTTTATTGATGGTTCATATTTTGGAAATTTGGCCCATATTGATTATGCCCATATTTTCTGAAGACAGAATTGTGTCTCCCAACAACCTTCAACAATATGAGCTTTACAGAAAACAAGCTTCTGGAGGCAGCAAGAAACAGTAGCAAGTTGCACAGCCAAATGTAGCTGTCAGTGATGTAAGGCAGACCTTACAGCCTGATCCTAAGAATGTGTCTTTGAAGTTCTATTGATTTTATGGAGCTTACTCTCAAGTAAGTGTGCTGGGATTGCAGCTATTCCTAAGAATGGTCGCTAAGGAATGTCCCCTTGCTTTGCATGCTGAAAGTGACAAGTTAAAAGGTTTGTGCAGTTAAGTGATGGGAACCCTGGACAGCTGCTGCCAGACAGAGGAGGCAATGCTGATCTTAACAGACAGTAGCCCTAAACATGTATTACACTAAACAGGTGTGCACCATATATATTGTGTGAACATCTGTTTATAAGAGAGTGCCATTATGCAATCACTTTAAAAATAAAACCAGGGGGCCAAACCTAGGAAAAGGTGGTGTTTATATTCACATTAAGAATTACTCAATGTGAAAAGAAAAACAGTAGTGTTCTTCACATAATACAGAGAATTTGCATACATCCTATGTGTACGTCTATTAGGAAAAAAAGAGCAAAAGAGCATTTACTTTAAAACCAAAATGGGACTAGTGCCCGAAGAAGAAAAGGAGGAGATTGGATTTATACCCCACCTTCACTCGGAGTCTCAGAGCAGTTTACAATCTCCTTTCCCTTCCCCTCCCCACAACAGACACCCTGTGAAGTATGTGGGGCTGAGAGAGCTCTTTCCAGAACTGTCCTTGAGAGAAAGCTCTGACAGAACTATGGCTTGCCCAAAGTCATCCAGCAGCTGCAAGCGGAGCCCTTAACCACTACACCAAATTGTCTTAGATGTTGCAACCATGTATACCAGGGGCCCACTACTGGGAATGCTCCACTACCTGTGAACTTCCCAATGTGCCTGATACACGCATGTCATATTTTGATATTACCAGTGTGTTCTGGTAATACGGTACACATATACCAAAGCTGTACATGCACAGTAAGTCCTTGCATTTCCCTCTTCACATGAAATGATGACCATGTATATCAAGAGCACCATGGGCAGCACTGTGTTCCTGGTATGTGTGATTCTATGGATGGAAAATGGCTCAGTATCTGCACAAATGCAAGGTTTTAATTGCGTGGTTAGCATGTCAGACTAGCACCCACCTGGGAGACCCAGATTTGAAATCTCCATTCTGCCGTGGAAGCTTACTGGCTGACCTTGGCCAGTCACTCTCAGCCTAATCCACCTTAAGGGTGGTTGTTGTGAGGATAAAGTAGTAAACAAATGTGTTGAATGTAACAGTGTACAAACAAAGAACAATCAAGTGCATACTGTACCCAGATAACTTGTGTGTTTGCTAAGGTGCATACAGGGAGGATGAGGCAATTTCACACATGTTCAAATGTTCCAGGTTTTGAAAACTGGCAGGATTGGAATTAGCACTTCAACCCATCCACAATTAAAGGTAAAGTTTTCCCTTGCTCGAAAGCTAGTCAAATCCAACTCTAGGGGGCGGTGCTCATCTCCGTTTCCAAGTCAAAGAGCCAGCGGTGTCCAAAGATGTTTCCCTGGTCATGTAGTGGCATGACTAAATGCTGAGGCGCACTGAACAATGTTACCTTCCCACCGAAGCAGTACTTTATTTATCTACTTGCAATTTCTTGCTTTCGAACTACTTGGTTGGCAGGAGCTGGGGCCAGAGACAGGTGCTCACTCCATCATGCGGCATTACGCACTCAAACTGCGGACCTACAGACCTTCCAGCCTGCAGCTTCAGCACCTTAACCACTAAGCCACCAGGGTTCCCATCCATCCACAATCACTCAGAAGTAAAACAAAGTTTGAGTCCAGTGGCACCTTTAAGTCCAACAAAGCTTAATTCCAGGTATAAGCTTTCGTCTGCAAGCACACTTCTTCAGATACAGAGAACAGAAATATCTTCAGCCATTACATATAGGGAGTCATCAGGAATCTCAGCTATAATCACCCAGTACTTCTGCATCTTGACTCTAACTGCCCCTCACCCCCTATAGGGAATGGCTGAAGAGATTCTGTTCTCTGTATCTGAGGAAGTGTGCGCGCACACGAAACCTTATACCTTGAATAAAACTTTGCAGGGGACCTACAAAAAGTAAGGACAAGCGATTGCTGCCGGGGAACATTCCTCCCTCTCCGCCGTTGCAGCTGCATCCGACAGCGGTGGCGACCATAACTTTTTTAAAGAGCCCCTAACGAGAGCTGGGCCTCTTGCATTCTGGGGGAGCCAGAATGACCTCTCACACAGGAGGTGGAATTTGCCCCTACCAGTCCAAGGCCACCACCCCGGGGCTCAGGGAGGGAAGGGGAACGTCCCCCCCCGCCCGCATACTCCCGTTTGAGCCCACCCAACGGCGCAAGAACGCAACCGCACGCCTCTGAATCCACCGCAACCTTACAGGGGACGAACTGGTGCCTCCACCTGTGGCACGAGCTCTTTTATCCCCCACCCGTAACACGGCAGCTCGTACAGGACAAAACTATTCACGGATTAATCCGTGCGCGCGCGCGCGAGCGCTTCTGGACGAAGAGGCGATGAAGGAGGGGGTGGGACGCTCGTCTACAGCCCCGCCCACTTCACCCTGCGCAAACCTCCACCCCCACGCTGGCTTGTATGTTTGCCTTCTCCCCGCTGTTCGGCGTCTGCGCATGCGCCCGGCGTGACAGGACTTTCCGAGATGGAGCCGCTCCTGGGGGAGCTGCCTCTGCGCTTCTCCCGGCTGCCCATGTTCCCCTTCTTCGACTTGGCGCACTATGCGGCCTCGGTGTTATCTCTGAAGGAGCAGCGAGGTGAGTGTCTTGCTGAAGAGATGTTCACTTTCTGCCAGGGTCCAGGGTTGGTTCGTTAGAAGGAGTAACTCTGTTTTGGGGCATGTGCAGAGTGATTTCCCTCGATACAGGAGAGGGGACCTACGTTTGTGCTCCTTCAACCCCAGAAACGATATTAGGCATCAGTCACTATAGCAACTCTGGTTATGTGGAGAGTGGGGTTCTGTCAATACCGAATAACCTGAACTGGTTCTTTGTACAAGAAGGTAGGCAGCTTCAACTTTTTGAACGTGTCTGTTGTCAATAACAGGAATAATTTTTTTATCGTGGGAAACGATTACAGAGGGTGCTTCTGACCATGGGCAGAGTGGATTTTTGTTCAGTAGTGGGTGGCAGTGTTCCCTCTAAGCTGAGTTAGTGTGAGCCAGCTCACAGTTTTTTAGCCTCCGGCTCACACCTTTTTGTCTTAGCTCAGGAAGGATGGCTCCAGAGCAAACTAAACTCTCAACTTTAATGCCAGTCGCTCACAAAGTAGAATTTTTGCTCACAAGACTCCACAGCTTAGAGGGAACATTGGTGGGTGGTCAACGCACCAACTTCGCACATTGACAGGTTGGAGGTGGGGGGAGGGCTTTTAATGCAAATTATGAAGTATTGGAGTGTTTGAATTCCAGGGCTACACTGTCCCTTGAAATTTAAGGGGGCATCCTTGAGCACTTTGGAGGCAGCTGTGCTTGCTCTTTAAGCACCTTGCCATGTGCTCCCAGCTGCATCCTTAGACTGTAATCCCTGTGGTCATACACTAGGCTTCTTTATTTTTATTCTCCCATTAATAGAACAACTTTAGAGTCCAGTGGCACCTTTAAGACCAACAAAGGTTTATTCAAGGTATGTGCGTGCACACGAAAGTGCCACTGGACTCTAAATTTGTTCTACTGCTTCAGGCCAACATGGCTGACCTCCTGGAACTATCTCCCATTAATAGTTCATTTTCTGACTTTGGGAGTTGCTCCAGCAGTGTTGGGATTTGCTTCTCTTACTTGGCGTCACTTACCCTGGCACCTTAACGCCAGGCCAAAGGACACGTTTCTCCATGCAGAGTAAACTTTACTTAATTTGCCACAGGTGACTGCCTCTACCTTAGATGGTTCCAAGCAACAATCAGACACCCTTACAGGCACCAATTGGTTACAGCTCTTAAATGGAACGGCTTTCTTCAGAAGCAGTGTACTCTAAGGGGGAAGACCTGTACTGCAGTTCCATTCATGCTCTCCTTGTAAGCTTCCAGAGGAACTTAACTGAATGCTGTTGAAAATAATATTTCCTTATGGGGTTTATGCTGCTTGGGCTGTCTGGGTGGTGGTGACTTGTTTATTTTTTAAATAAAATAGGGGGATGCAGAATGGACGCTTATACTTCCTTCCACTGAGTTACACATGATGAGTTTTCTCTAATTCCCAAAGGAAACTTTTCTGGAGATGATTTTTCTTAGGATGTATTGAAGAACAGGAGCAATTTAGCCCTTATATAAGAAAGTGCACACATCTGTCTGCCCGAAACATGTGCTGCCTGTGGGAGTAGGAAAGAGTCTGTTGCTGTGAGTTAGTGTGTCAGCTGTCAGCACTTAGGCAATGACAAGGGGTGCTTATCTCAGTGATCCTATCTTCCTTTAAAAAGTACCATTGCCTCACTTAAAATTGCACATCGCACTTATGTTTCTTGCTGATCTCCTGTGCCACCCACGCACACCTGTCAGTAGAAGTCTGAACCTTTAGTGACCCTCTGTTTGCTGCCATAATGGGCTGGAGCCCAAACACAGCTATCAGATGAGGCCAGGAGTATGGGAACTAGAAGTTCTGCCACACCCTGTTGGCACCAGAAAAGCCCGATAACATGGATTGGAAACTGTTGAAGGGGTCTGTGGTGGTGGCAGTGAATATGAAGGCCTGGGGGAAAAGTCCACTTAGGACTTTCCCCCCCAACTTTTATGATGGAAAAATTAGAAATTTGGGGAAGCACTGGAAAAAAAACGCATATGAAATGTTTTATTCTGATATGAGTGAAATGACTTTTTAAGGCAAAGTTTTAATCATGTGGAATGTGCAGTAAGACTTTTAATCTAAGATGATCTTCCGCTTTAAACATTGATATTTTTCTGTATACTGTATTCATACAACATATTTCCAGGTGCATATTTATTGCTTAAATATGATTAATCCTGTCCACCATTGATAACTGTATCAAAATAGTATTCTCAATGCTATCAAGTCTAATCCAGTATTCAAATATGCTGCTAACCCTAGTATGGTTGTATGTTTCTGTGTGGATAACGCACTGCTACAAAGTTTGTTTCTTCTACTTTTTTCCTACCTGTCGTGGCAAAAAGCAACATACATGTACAAGGTGCTAGTTTTGACCTTTAAAGTCTGTATGGCTCGGGGGCTGCATAATTTAGGACTGCCATCTCATCTCTTCAGAGGGCCTGCTTAGAGAGCTTTTGCCATTTGAGGCTAGATAAGTGGTCACCTGGGGGTTTGGGTGTATGGGGGGTTGGGGACTAAGGTCCCCCCAGTGGCCTATGGAGCAGGCAAGCCTAGGATGACTGGATTGGGTCCAAGTGAACTGGGGCGGGCAGAGGGAAACTTTCTTTGGAGGGTTATGGTGGCTCTTGGCTACCTTGCTTTGGCTGCTCAGGGTTTTTAGTGGCGGTGTCCCTTTCCCGGCAGTGTTGCAACCCCTTCACTTTACAGGGGTTTTAGTCATTCAGTGTCTTACTGTTGTATTGATTGATTTTGTTTCTTTGTGTATTTTGTCTTTTTTCTGTTTTTATCTTTCACTGTGATTGCAAGCTCCCTCTGGAGTCCTGTAATGGACTGAAAGGTCAGGTGTCACTTTAATACATCTTCTGAGTAATTGTTCACAATTATGAGTAATTGTACTTTTCTCATTGCTAGGAGTGCCTTTCAGGGTAGGCAAAATGGGAGACGATGTATAAATTGCTGACCCATCAGCCACCGAATTTGTTTCATCTTATCTACAATAAATGTGGAAATGTCAAATAAGATAAGTCAGTACGATGTAGTGGTTAGAGGGTCAGATTATGGTTTGGGAAGCCCAGGTTTGAATCCTCATTCTGCCTTGGAAGCTCACTGGATGACCTTGGGCCAGTCACACATGCTCAGTGTAATCTACCTCACAAGGTTGTTGTGAAAATAAAATGGAAAGGAGAATGTCTGTAAGCTGCTTTGAGTTCCCATTGGGGAAGAAGGTGAGATATAAAGTCAACTAAATGGAAAAGGCACTGTTGGGCTTTGCAAACTTCAGGCTGTGTTGGCAAAGTAGAACATTGACTTTTTGTTAACTATTGGTTTAAGCTTTTGGAACTCCTTCCCCACAAATAGTTTGCTGTGTCATCTTCCTCTGCAGAAAAACAAACTGGATGTATGTGGACCCCCATGGCTCATCTGCTCTACAAATTATACTGTTTTTACACTGTCCAGTTGCTGTGTCTTCCCCATAGAATTTTGGGAACTGTAGTCTTGTGAGTGCCATGAATCCTCTGGGTCTTGTCATAGCTCCATGAGTGTAGCTGATCTCTGAGCAGCCAGCATATTTATATGGATTCACTTTGTTTTCCCTTTACTTATGTAGTAGATGCAAAAGAAATTGTATCTCTGTGCTCTTTAAAGAACATTTGTTTAAAAAAGTATTTCAGAAGCATTCTGATTAACTGGTATTCACAATCTGCTTTGAGGGTCCATAATTTTGTATTTGAATATTATTTATTAAAGATGCAGGCTTTGTTCTAATAAAGAATTTTGCTGTGTTGTAATATAGTATGTTCTGGGCAATCTGTAGTACAACTTGAAAAGTAAAGGCTTTAATTGGTCCAGCAAATAGGTACTTGGAATATGCAGGCGTGTTCCTTCTCTGCCAAGGAGACAGTGATGTGGATAGTTGCATATATTTCACAGGTTTTCAGTGGTTACACTAGTATACCTATGGTACTCATGAACTGCTACATGAGGTAGCTGTAAGTCTATGTAACCATAAGCTTTGTTTTGCCATCCTCTAAAGAAGAATAGTATTAATGACCTAACTGACCTAGTCACTCTACAGTCAAATCCAAAACAATAAAGATCTTTGCCAATCTAAATGCTTATACAAAAAAGCAGTAATAGAAAGTAGACTACTAGATCCACTTTGGATGTTGGTCATTTCCCTTTATAATTAGCACTTTGGGTTTTGAACTGGTGATCAATCTCTCTGGAAAATGTCAGTAGTTTTAAAACAAGCCTTACTGTACCTTTAGTATTAGTATGTTCTGTCACACTTAGAGTAATTCAGTGTAGCCATGGGTGATAGGGCCTTCTTAGTGGTGGCACTGTTGGTATTTCTTTGGGAAGCCCATTAAGCCCCCATCCTTTTGAAACCTTCAGGCTAGTAAACACTTAACTATTTTGATGAGCTTTTAGTTTGTTTTAGTGATTGTGGTGAAAGTATTTGTTTGATGAACTTTTGGGTGCTGATGACTTTACATTTGCGTCTGTATAGTTTTGCTGATTATTTGCTTTTTTTAGCTTGAATGTTTGTTGTATGTTTGTGTATGGTTTTACTGAAAGCTGCTTTGGATGTCCTACTAAAAAGCAGAATGTACATTTTAACATAGAATAAATGGCTCCATCTAAAGAACTAAAGACCCTCACACAGACCAGAGAGGGTTAATATCAGAAGAATATCATCATTGTATGACCTCATGTACAGTCTGTGCAGTTTTCCATATGAGAATAGAAAGGCTGTTGTTGTTGTTGTTATTACGACTGTGCCTTATGGCCCTTCTGTGGCTCCTGCCTAAAAGTAATAGAGGAGGAGGAAGAGGTGGCGTTGGCGTCACAGTAACCCGAGGTGGACGGCAATGACAACAACCTGCTGGTGGGCAGCAAGGGTGGGCGACTCTGCAGCTCTCGCATGTGCTCTGCCAAACTGCCCACCAAGTTCGCCGCAGGTCCCTTTCACCCCTGAGCCCGGACCGGAGGAGGAGGAGGTGGGTACGGGTGGGAGCAGGGCAGGGGGTGGGGGAAGAAAGCCAGCCGGGCTGCCCTGCTCAGGCCAAGACGAGGAGTGAGAGGGCCGGGCCCTTTGGCATGCCTTCTTCTTGGGCTGCATGGCTGGAGGAGCGGGAGTCAGTTTAGAGGGAACACTGGCTGACACTGGTTGCCCTGGGGGAGGCTCAGTCTCTCCCGGAAAATTTCAGAGAAGGGCCAGCCCCTGAGCCCCCCTGTAGTTGACACCTATGCCTGGAGGTACCTAAGCAGGACATGAAAGCAGCTGTCCCCCAATCTCAAGGTCTGCTGCCCCTTAGCTTGGAGGCTTCTTTAGCTACTGTGGCCAATAGCCATTGAGCAATCCGTGAAGATTGTCTGCCCAATTCTTTTCATAAAGTTGTCTAAGCCTAGCACTGCATCTTATAGGGCTGAGTTCTGTAATAACATTTTGTGTGTGTGTAAAAAGTATTTCCTTTTGTCTGTTCTAACTTTACCACCAGGCAGTCCTTGTGTTCTATTGGTAGAACTTATTTACTTCAGTTATAGTCTGCCTTTGTCACTCAGACTTAGGGCAGGTTGTATAATTTAAAGAACCCACTTAATAAAGATAATCCATATCTCCCTTATATATAAAAGCCGAATGGTGGTGGCACTTCTCTAGAACATTCCACACGCTCCGGAATTGGTTGGCGCCCTGGTGTGTCACGCAGAATCTGTCCCTATCCACTGGATGCATTGCTTGAGTCTCGCCTCCAACATTCTAAACAGTTTGCTGTTCCTCCCCCCCCCCATAGCCAGTCAGAACACAGAGGTTATTTGCATATGCAGCCTCATTGGCCTTTGCCTCGGAACACAGAGGTCGTTTGTATATGCACCTGATTGGCTTTTGCCTCTAACATTCTAAACAGTTTGCTGTTCTGAGGTAAAATGTGTCCAATCTCCAGGTGAGGGCTGGAGATCACTCAGAATTACAACTGCTTTTCAGATGGCAGAGATCAGTTCCCCTGGAGAAAATGGTGGCCTCTGTATCCTTATATGCTGCTGAGGTGGCCCCCGTATGACAGCCAATGTGACGTAGTAGTCAGGGCTTCAGAGCACAGGAGAGGCTGCAAGGGTGTGTGTGGGGTGGAAAGCTGAAGAGTGAGGGGGATGTAAAGGTAGGGTGATGATTGGCTGGAAAGGAGATAGGGTTGCCAATTCCAGGTGGGAAATTCCTGGAGATGTGAGGGATGGATCCTGGAGAGGGTGAGGTTTCAGGAGGGGTAGGATAGGTACAAAGCCGTAGACTCCACCCTCCAACCATTCCCTTCTGGGGAACCATTCTTGCCAGTCTCCAGGTGAGGGCTGGAGATCACTCAAAATTACAACTGTTCTTTAGGTAGCAGAGATCAGTTCCTCTGGAGAAAATGGTGGACTCAGTGTCATTATACCATGCTGAGGTAGCCACAGCAAATTGACACTTAGTGTCCAAGGCCGGGGCACCCGCCCAGAGCCTCTTTCTAGAGGCCGTTGTATTTATTTCCACAACGGGTCTTTTTCCTAGTAGTTATTAAAACTGGACTGCAAAATTAGAGAACACCCCAAAAGGACAGTGTAACACATAAAACAATACCAACCCCCCCCCAAGGTTACAGAATGATGCAATAAAACAGTAATATGTAGAAGAAACAAGGTAATAAAGTGAGATTACAAAATTAGAAAGCAATGCAAAAAATACAGTAGGCAATTAAATGAGACGTTGCCTAAAAATTTCAGCGGTGACTACTAGAACCCACTTCCCTCGACAAAAATGCCCTCCTGAGTAATTCTGTTGACCAGCAGAATGTGTGAAACATAGGTGTGGAAGTTTACCTGACCTCCTCAGGCAGGCCATTTTACTAGGTGGGAGCCAGAGTGGACATATGGGCAACTATTTATTTTATTTATTTGTAACCCTGACTTGGATGGTCTAGGCTTGCCCAATCCCGTCGGATCTCGTAAGCTAAGCAGGGTCATCCAAGGAATACTAGGGCTGTGACACAGAGGCAGGCAGTGGCAAACCACTTCTGAAATGTCTCTTGGCTTAAAAACAAGTCTATCTCGCCACCTAGTGGTGCATAAAGCTAAAGAGCTAGAACTGCTGGCTGCCAGACAATCTTAGGATCTCCTGGCTATTCTATACACAATGCAATATGGTAATTAATGAATTACCTATTTACAGGGTGGCACCTTCCAAAGGTTTGCTCAGATGCAGTGCTTTTGTTGGTGAAAAAAAGATGCCGGTGCTCATATATAAGGTTGCTCTGATTTCCACCATTTCCCCCCTCTGCTCATTTCTACCACGCTGTTCCTGAGGGTCCACTTTATCTTTTTCTGGCTGAGTGGGGTGGGCCGGTGCATGAGGATCAGGGCTTGAGAGCACCTCCGAAAAGGTGCTGGTACTCCGTATTGGTGAGTACGGTCCTTGATCAGATGAATGAAGTTGCCACAGCAAGACAAAGAGAATTCTCTCTCTTCACTTTCCCTTGGTCGTGCATACTTTTATAAACTTCTTTTATTCACATTCCCACCTCGCTGTCTAGTCATTTTTCGTTCCAGATGCTTTCGTGTTTCCATGCTGAAAAGGTTCACTAACCCATTAATTAAGAACATAAGAACATAATTGTTTTGGTTGCATGTTTTCTGTCCCCTTCTTTGATCCCGCGATATTTGTTTCAGGGTGGGGAAATCACAAAAAGCATACATCTGTACATCTAGAAACCGCATCCCCCCCAACTGTATCCTGCTTCTGTGCTGATGTGGAGGAGCAGAAAATGATGTGCTGTACTGAGTATTTTGTCACTTAATGTGATATTAAACACATCTTTCTCAATATCTCTCCTTCTAAACTGTGGAAATTAGATTTCTGAAATATTTTGCCTACCTTCAGGCCTTCTCGTAAATCTTCAGGAATATGTACTTGGGGCATTCGGATTGGACAGCAGTCATGCGCTTCAGACTTCTCATTAGGTAAACCTGATAGTTCATCCAGATCATTATCTCCCTTGTTAACCTTGTCAAGTACACAATTAAGCTTAATTAACTGCAACTTCAGAGCTTAGAAAGAACATTTATAGGATGCATGTGAACTGAACAGCGATCTTCTAGTCCTAAGCATTCATACTCAAAGTGTCACGTAATACTGATATTACAGCATAATGTTTTTATATTTAAATATTCCTGATCTGTAAAGAACTGTTAGTTTGGCTTTTGCAAAAGTATTTCCATAGAAGCAGATTTTAGAGGGGTGGCTGCATTAGTCTGTTACGGTCGGAATAACCTACAGGATAAGTTGGATCCAAAGATGGTTTTTTGCCAGTGGAAGAGAAGGGGTGATGTTTACTGATTCCCTCCTCCTGGTGTGGTCCCCTAAGCTCCCTGAAATTGCTACTCTTTGTGGAGGGGCACAGGGGGACCCTCAGGAACAGCGAGGGGAATGGAAAGGTCTGCAGGTTGGGGGGGGGATGCGGTTTCTAGAATAGGAAGTATTTGGCATACATTGCCCTCTTTCTTCTGTTGGCAGAAGTATGTCATGCCAGCAGAAATAGCCCGTGAATCCAACTTTTTTAAAAAAACTTTTGCATACCTCTTTGATGTGAATGAAAGGCAGTGAAGAAGAAATCAAATCACCAATGGCTCCTTCTAATGTCAAACTCAAAGTAAAGTATTCATTGCTGCTTTCTCATGTCATTCTTTCTCTTTCCCGTTTTCTTGGTTGCACATTCTTTGAAGGAAAGCATACAGGGTTTTTTTCAGTTAACAAAATAGTATTGAGTTGGCAATAGTATGGAGAATCTTTCTTGGAAAGAGCAACACTTGAGCTTGTCATATGAATGTAATCATGCATCCATGTTTGATATAATGGTACTCATGAAATATGTTGCTGGTAGCAAAATACACATTGATTTAAAGAGGGCCAAGTTAATTCGAACAGGACAAACTGTATGTTATCCAAAATTTACTAAACAGTGAATGTGTTTCTGAGGGTACTCAGATTTGAATTATGAAGGGTGCGATAGTAATTCTGAGGATGCTACATAATTCTTTTTTTTTCTCCCCAGAAAGATTATCTTCTGCCTTACCATAAATCTTTAGTAACGGCCATGGAAACTTAAAATCACTCACTCCTCAGATTTCTAACACTGTTTAGTCATAGTACAGTGGTTGCTTCCATGAACGGTAACTTCTCTCTGTGCTGAAAGAGAATGAAAGAATTTATAAGAGTGTGGATAAGTTTTCAAGTTAGTTTCCTCATGGAGAGCTTTGATATCCTCTGAAGAGCTACTTGAAGTTCTACACAAGATGAAAATTTTCCTTCGATGGTTCAGTAGGAGAAACTTGGGGGCCATTAAAGGCCCTCACATTGCTTGTTTCTCCTTTTCTGAGGTTAAAGTTTGACAAGAAGAGGTCTTAATAAACTGATTTTGTCTGAATTCTCTATCATTCCAGGAGCAGTGGAAATATCGTGTCACAGCCCAATTGCATGCTGGTTTAGTGCTATGCTTTACTGTTTTGGTGGGTCTATTTTGTCTTCCTTGATGCTCGGGGAACCTCCAGTTGCATTTCTTGCCAATACTACAAATGTCCTCCTCGCCTCATCAGTCTGGTAAGCAGCTTTACATCTAAGTTTGTTGTCTGTATTTACAATAGTTGATAAAGCATGAATTTGTAATTTAAGGAGCTTTTTTTTGGCAAGACTTGAAGAGCAACTTTCAGGACTGTCATTCAATTAAGCTGTTAGTCATATGGATTTTAAAATATGCATAGTAAAGGTAAAGGTTCCCTTGCTCGAAAGCCAGTCGAATCTGACTCTAGGGTTGTGGTGCTCATCTTCGTTTCAAAGCCGAAGAGCCAGCGCTGTCCAAAGACATTTCCGTGGTCATGTGGCTGGCATGACTAAACACCAAGACGCACGGATCGCTGTTACCTTCCCACTGAAGTGGTACCTATTTATCTACTTGCAATTTCTTGCTTTCAACCTGCTAAGGTTGGCAGGAGCTGGAACTAGAGACGGGAGCTCACTCTGTCATGCAGCAACTCGGGTCTCGAACTGCTGAACTATTGACCTTCCACAGCCTGCCGTTCAGCGTCTTAACCACTTGAGCCACCGCAGCTCCAAAACATGCATACAGCTTTCAAAAACTAAGACTACTGTCTTAAAATGAAGCAGTGGCGTGGCTATATCTGCTCAGATGGTTGGCAAGTACCTTTGTCTCTAAAGTGAAGAAGGGCAGAAGCCTGGCCTGCTGGGAGGGACTGTTGTGGCAACGTCTGTATTTAGCTGCATTACGGTGCCTTTCACAAGAAGGCACCAGTCCAGTGTACAGCTGGGAGAAATCCGTGGTGGAAATTCAGTGAAACTTATTTCCTGAATAGAGAAAAACTAGGATCAGATTGCCCTTATCCCTTCTTGAGGTGTTAAATGGAAATCAGAAATCCAGTAACTTTATGGAGTTATCCGTTGTTGCTTTCAAAAGGCTCTGTTACAGAAACAATGAAGAATAAAAAGTTGTGTACACAAACTAGCAATTGCTGTGAGCTAAGGTTGGGTGTCCTCTGAATTTTTAGTGTGCTTTATTTTCAAATTGTGTTTGTAGGGGACACAAAGGAGTATTTACTGACTTTTCTCATGTGGAAAAGTACACATTGTTCCTTTAGGACTCCTTACTAATTAGTGGAGCTCATTAGCAAAAACAGTATTGAGTCAGTCTTAGATTTCTGAATCTCAACCCTCTGTTAGGAACTCCTGTGTTACTACTAAATTAGTTTGCCACTAACTACCTTACTTCAGGGAGAACATGCCTTTATTTTGCTAAATAACTGGACTGAGTGGGAAGAGTCTGTTCCTTCCTTAATGGCTCTTGTGCCTTGACGACAGCAGTTCCTTTGTCTAATGCAGCGGTAAGGTATAGAAACTTTTTCTTACTGGCGCTTCTTAGATGTGAGAGCACATTTTTGGCTTAGGTCACTTACCAGAGTAGCTGAACTTGTGGTCTGAAGAGCAAAACATGCACTTCAGGTTATTCTTTCCAAATTGCCTTGTATGTCCTGAAATAATTGGTGGTGGAAAGTGCCTTTAAGTTGCAGCAACTTACGATGACCCTGTTGGGCTTTCAAGGCAAGAGATGTAGTTTGTCCTTGTCTGCTTCAGCACAGTGACCTTTTCCCCCCTTGGTAGTCTCCCATCCAAGTTCTGACCAGGGCTGACCCTGCTTAGCTCCTTGAGCTCTGATGAGATCGGGCTAACCTGGGCCAACCGGTTGAAGGCTCCAAAATAATTATATCTTTTGCTTATAAGATGCATTGCAAACAGTAGCTGCAGTAAAATGTTACCTTATGTATACAGTGATGATACTGGGAGAATGAAATGGTATCTTCTGGCGGCAAACAATTAAAATAAACTTAAATATTAAATAATGCCGTTAAACAGATAAAATAGATCCCAATTAAGTCTCTAATCCATTGGGTTCTCTTTCCTTCCTGCCTTTCTTGAATGGATAGACTCGAATGCTATTTATACACTGCTGTATTTATGTACAAAGACAGTTTTGTGTTGGAAAAGTAAATATTTTCTTTTCTCCATGCTGAGAATACAGTGCAATTGCTTACATATGTTTTGGCTGCCTGCTTGATTGATAGATGCCAGGCACAGAAAAAGCTGGCACTGCCGCTTCACAGATGAATGTGTGTTTTCACGCACAGAGGTGATCCCTGCATAGGAAGACAATGATTTACCACTGCATCCAGACCCGTGTGATTTATGATAAACAATTAAGTGGGCATATGTCAGGGGTCTGTAACAGGTAGCCTGTGAGCTGCTGGTAGCTTGCTGGCTGCTTTCAAGTAGCTTGTGCGTGCTCTAGATTAGAAGACCCAGGAAAAGGCTGGAAAAGATGTCCTGTAGGCTTTTTTAAAAAGCCTTTTTCGTAGGGTTTTTCCCTCTGTGCTGCTTAGCTTTATTTCTGACACTCTTCTTAGTCTATGTTCAGTTTTTGGGGCTTGGTTAATGTTTGTGTGTATTCGTGTATTAGATCAGGATATATTTCATAACTCAGAAGTAGCTTTCATTAAAGAAAAGCCTGGTGACCCCTGGCATATGTAGTAGTCGATATGCGCGCCAAAGTCACAAAATCCCTTTGCTTTGGGGAGAAAAGGGTGGCTTCCTAACTTTTTGATTACTTTATAAAAAATTAATCACAACAAATACTGTTAAGTGTTTTCTTTTTGCAGTTAAAATGTATTTTAAGTGAGTCCCAGGGCTATTTTTGGGCAGGAACGCACAGGAACGGAGTTCCGGCTGGCTCCTAAGTTGGCCACGCCCAGCAGGAACTCATTAGCATAATAGGCCACACCCAACAGCAGGAACTCATTAGGATTGGCTACATTAGGGGTGTGTGGCCTAACATGCAAAGGAGTTCCTGGTACCAAAAAAGCCCTGGGTTTTGACAACAAACAAGGTAAACAGAATAAGAAGCAAAAGGTGGGTGTGGTTGGATGACCACACTTCTGGTAACACGGGGGTGTGGCCTCATATGCTAATGACCTGTGATGTCGGGTGTGTGGCCTAATATGCTAATGGATTTCTGCTGTTGGGTGTGGCCTATTATGCTAATGAGTTCCTGCTGGGCTTTTTCTACAAAAAGAGCCCTGGCTGAGTCCTATTAAACTTGGAAATCTCCCCCTCTCCTGGTGCTCATGGAACTAAGTTGGGTAGGTGGAAGGAGCCATTTGGGGATAGATACAGCCCTTGGATGTGCAAAGCAGTGAAGTGGAACAAATGTACCAGAAGCTTGTGGAGGCCAAGTTGTTCCATGCAAAATGAACAGCTTGGTGGGGTGGGGTGGGGTGGCGGAATGGTCCAATGTTAAGACGTCTGCAATAGAATCCTATGCATAGATCCAGTTGGTCAGCCGTGTTGGCCTGAAGCAGTACAACAGATTTAGAGTTCAATGGCACCTTTAAGACCAACAAAGGTTTATTCAAGGTATGAGCTTTCAGGCGCACACACACTTTATCAAATACGTTAGAATGGCAGGCAAGGTTCAAACTTATAGCCAGAGAATGAACAGCAAATTAACATGCAACACGATGATGATGAAGATACGCAAAGTGACACCAAGTAACATGTTAAGGTTATAGGGTCAACTGGCAATAAAGCGATAACTGTTATTCTGTGCTCAGTCCCATTGTACTGTTTGTGGTGTAATGAGGACTGGGTCCATCCGCTAGCTCTTCTCAAAGACAATGTGTATAAATTGTAACAACTGTCCCCCTCCAATCCTTTCAGTATAAAATCTGCCCCACATACTCATGCTATGTTCCCTATAAAAATATGTACAGTGGGAATTTTTATGCTCCACAGAGCAATCTCAGCATAAGATCAGATAGCAGCGCAGTTGAAAGGGCTTGGCTTCCTCCTTCTGTACTTAAACCTATGCCCCAATTTTATAGATTTGACACACCCACATGCCCAAACACTTACTAAGCACGATAGACTCTGAGGGGTCTGAAATATTTATCCACTAGTGACATCTACTGGTATCTATTGGAAATATCATTAAAAATTCTGAAGGGCGACAGTCTTCTAATAGCTGCTCCTAGTGCTGTAGCAACAAATACTTATTTTGACTTTCTATCATTCCAGCTCATGATGTTCAATCTGCTGGTCTTCTACACACGTATGCAAAGTATAATAGGTGTTACGCCTTTGTAAATATTGCAACTTGCTACTGCTATTTGTCGAGACAGAAGAATATGGGAGATGGCCTTCAAAATGTGTACCGAGCAATCATTCAGTAGGTGGTCATAGTTGCTAGGCCAGCACTTAATTTTAGAGGGTCTGGGGAGCAGTGGGCAATGGTAGACATCGCCACCATTCGTTCCTTATCCCCTGTCTTGCCTCTCTGGGTTGGCAACTGAACCATCTGCTATGCTTAAAGGGCCTGAGTTTTGCTTAGGGCTTGCATTTGCTGGTTCTCCATTTTAGATGTTAACATGGATGGAGCCAGTGTGGTCTAGTAGGCAGAGTGTCGGAGTAGGATCCGGGAGACCCAGTTTCAGATCCCTGTTCCTCCATGGAAACTTGGCTGGGCGATCTTGGACCAGGCACACAGCCTAAGCGATCTCAAAAGGTGGTTGGGGGTGGTGGTGTTGGGATTCTTATTGAGTAAGTCAGCAGAGTATTAAGAGACTGAGTCCATGGTGTGTATTAAAATATAAACGTTTACTATAAACCCAACATGGGGAAAAGGTACACAGGATATGAAAATAACAAAGAGCTAATATGTCTACATCCTTACAGCGAAAAGGTAAAACGGGAAGAGCCGGAATGGCATCTCCTTCTCAGTCAGAACAAAGAACGGGAGGAGGACAACTTGGTTTCCAATCAGACTAGCAAATTAGCTCCAAAGTTCCCGGGCATTCTGTTGTCTAAATAGATTGGTTACAAACAAACATGTGACTTAACAAACATCATTAACCCTGTAAATACTGAAGTGGTTTGACTTGTAACACCCAACAGGGGGGCAATGTTGTAAGCTGCTTTATATCACCCTTGGGGAGAAAAGTACAGTTTAACTGTCTAAATAAGTATGTTTTCAGTGTTCC